ACAGTTCTACATTTCTCCTGAGCAATAGTAAATGACTTGAAGTGGGTGGCTAGAGACTTGGAAGAAACAATATTGGAAGATTGGATTAAAGAAATCTGGGGAAGAGATATGTGGATAATAGACCTGTGGGAGTCAGTATATATGTCTCTGTATCTGAAGTTACAGCTTTGGGACCAACTGCAGCCACAGGAATTGAGACTTGTTTCACTAATTCTCTTAGGTTATCAAGTGATTGCAGCCAGCAGCCACCCAAAAGGACTCTATGATCCACTTGACCTAGAGGAAGGCATAAAGTGTGCCTGAATGGTGCTAGGTTGGGGGCGGGGGGTGCTGTGTCTCATTTCTTAATCTGGCCATTGTGCACAATGTCTACCTTCACACAGATGCAACCTTACAGTGCCTGGCCCAGGCCCACCACACACCTCTCATTTCCAGCCTCCCAGCCCCTTTGAGCTGCCACAAGGGATAAATATGGGAGTTCACTTAACAGTCATTTACAAGGCACCTAAATGTTCTATAGGGCCACTCTTGACCAATGGGAGATAAATGGATAAATATTTCTCTTTCTTCCCTGAGCAAGATGGTCTTTTTTTTTTAAAGATGGTCTTTAAATGCATTTCACAGAGCTTCTCAGAAGGTCTCCCATATTTGAGAAACCAGTTGCCCTTAATGGTAGTAAATCAACAACTCATCCTTGTATTTGCTCTGTTTCATTCTATTTCCTTTGCTCAAGTTTCCAGGAGCATAACCATATCAAATTAAACTCCTCACATATAGATCTGTCTCAAGCTCTGCTTTCAGGAGAATCTAGGCTAAGACAAATGTTTTAAGGCTTTAATCAGAATTGGGAGGCTAAATAAATAGGATGGTCAAAAAAGACCTCTTTGAAAAAAAAAATAATTAGGAGGCTATTCTGGACTTCTGTCTTCAGTGGCTGGGGATTGAAGTCACATGTCCTCCATTGTGTGCCAACATTAAACAATGTTATTGTTCATAAAACATCATAAATGTTTTCTTGCAATGAAATCAGGTCACCTGGTGACAATCAGCAATCCTATGTTCTTATAATAGTCTGCTTTCATCTTTCTGCCACTTGACATCCAGGGTAAATATTAATATAATATTAATATTGGTCTCATCTTCTGATGTTGATAAGGGAAAGGATCCAAACATCAAGATGCTCAATGACATCTGGATTCTTCTTGGCTTATGGACAGAGTGCCACAAAGCATGGAACACTCATGAAGACAATGTTGGAAGAGACCCCATAGCAAACACTTCCAAGTCAAGGTCAAAACACTAGGGGCTAGTACAGAACAGATTTTTTTCTCTTCCCTATATAATTCTTCAAAATATAAAATTGGCAGCTAGGAGAGAAAAGTAGCATAGTGCTTAAGAATGCAGGTACCAACACCAGATGGACTGGTGTGAATTCCAGCTCCATCACCCACCAGCCATGGATACCCAAGTAAATTTTGCTTCTTGTTTTTTAAGATTTTATTTTTAATTAATATCTATACCCAATGTGGAGCTCAAACTTACAACACTGAGATCAAGAGTTTCATGCTCTACAGATTGAGCCAGCCAGGTGCCCCACCTGAGCAAGTTTCTCAAACTGTCCAAAGTTGTCTGCCCATAATGTTTACATAAATGAGACTTCTTTTGTGTCACATTTAGCTCATTGTTTGGCATAGGTAAATGTACACTAATAGTTGAATAATTGTTATTAATCACGTCCTAGTTCACATGGAGCTGGGCTCCAATCAAATATTCTAAAATTCTGTGCGTTATACCTGTTTTTGCCTTTAAGTTATCCCAGAACCCCTAAAAGCAAAGATGACTGAAATGGGGATCCTGGCAGCAGCAACAAAATCCATTATAGGAAACAACCCACTGGATACCCTTCAGATCTCAAAAATATAGGTTGTTGGCACAGTGGCTCAGTGATATCAATGAACTAAGAATAAATGAAAACTAATCATCTAGATCTCACAAACTCTTGCCTCTGAGGACTCATGATAGGTAGCTCAAGTTGTTCTCTCCCAAACAGGGAGAAGCAGCTGTGACTGAAACTTTACCAAGAATACAACATGGGGTCCTCAGTTCCCTCAGAAATCCTACAGATGAGGCACCTGGGTGTCGCAGTCAGTTAAGCGTCCAACTCTTGATTCCAGCTCAGGTCATGATCTCAGGGTTGTGAGATTGGTGTGGAGCCTGCTTAAGATTCTCTCTATATATAAAACAAAAAGAAAAAAATGAAACCCTACAGAACTTTTCAGGAAATTTCACAGACAATAAACCTGGTTAAGGAAGTAGATATGTGCACTTGCATGTAGGATGTATGTGTGCACATGCACACACACACACACAGCTGCTTGAGAGCTGAGTATAGGAAAAGACTGATGGGATTTAATACATAAAGCTGGTGAGGGATAAAAGGCAGCTCACTCAACATCCAGCTTGCTGAGGCATTAGGGGAGGGTAAGGAACAAGCAGGTGGAGATACCTGGCATTGCTGAATAATAGGCTAGAAAATTTCAGGTTGGCCCTCTGCTTTGAAATCACTTCTTGTGCAGTGGCAGTATGTTGCCAATGAAGTTCATCTGAGGAGCAGTAATGGCTAACTGAAAACTTCCCCCAGTACCCCCAATATCCTCCCCCACCCCGGTGTAATGATTTGAAAGCACTTCTTAGCCATCAAATCAATTCAACTGTCTCTTTAAACAGAAAAACCGGGAACCCTGGGTGGCGCAGCGGTTTGGCGCCTGCCTTTGGCCTAGGGCACGATCCTGGAGACCTGGGATCGAGTCCCACGTCGGGCTCCCCCGTGCATGGAGCCTGCTTCTCCCTCTGCCTGTGTCTCTGCCTCTCTGTGTGTGTCTGTGTGTGTGTGACTATCATAAATAAATAAAAATTAAAAAAAAAACAGAAAAACCTTTCCCAAACCATCCCTCACCCCCAGCAGATTCCTGCTGGTCTTCCCAGACAGAACTGTGTCATCAGGCCTAGCTTCCAGAGAAGCTGAAAGATCAACTATTTAACTTTTCCATTCTCTATAGAAAAAGTGGAAAGGGGAGAAGGGGATTGGGCATGGAGGTTGAGATAGTCAATTCACAGTGAGTTTGCAGGTACAGGGTTAGAGAGGTGAACAATTGGATAGTGGATTTCATTGCAACATCATGAGTTCAGTGTGAGATTTATTGAGCTTGAGGCAGATGGTAAACTGAATCCCTGGAACCTGTGAATATTACTGTATATGGAAAAAAGGGACTTTGCAGAAATGATTACATATTGGGATGGGGAGATTATCTTGGATTATCCAGGTGAGCCCTAGATTGAATCACATATGTCCTTATAAGAGGGACACACAGGGAGACATGACTCCAGAAAAGCAACAGATGTGACAACAGAACGAAGAGGTTACAGTTATGTAAGGAAGGGGCCAGGGAATGCAGACAACTTCTAGAAGCTGAAAAAGAAAACAGATTCTCCCCTCAGAGTCTCCAGAAGGAACGAAACCTAATGACATCATGACTTTAGCCTACTGAGACTGATTTAAGACTTCTGAACTCCAGAACTGTAAGAGTATAAATTTTTACTGTTTTAAGCTTACACTTTGTCTGTGGGAATGTGTTACAACAGGAATAGGAAAATGCAAGTTGCCTTTAAAACATCTAAGAGATGGCACCCGGGGGGGGGGGGGGGGCTCAGCAGTTGAGCATCTACCTTCAGCTCAGGGCATGATCCTGAAGTCCTGGGATTGAGTGAGTCCTGCATCAGGCTCCCCCTGTCTGTGTCTCTGCCTCTCTCTGTGTGTCTCTCATGAATAAATAAATAAATAATCTAAAAAAAAAAAACATCTAAGAGAGATCAGCTAGATGCATTTAAGGGTCTGGAGGTGCAAGAAGAGGGCTGGGCTTGAGATATACATTTTAGTGTCATATTTAGATGGGTAGTATTTGAAGATGTAAGAGGGCATAAGCTCCTGTGAAGAGAGTTGAGTGTCCCCTACATGCTATGCTGTCCATCTTTCAGCCCGAAAAGGATGACTTAACTTCTCCGAAATATTATTTATTGAATCTCTCTTCTGTCCCGGCATCCTATCAAGCTATTTATGTGCACTCTCATTTAATCCTCACAACCACCTTATGAGGTAGATACCATTTTTTATCTCCTATTTACAGAAAAGGAAACCGAGGCTTGGAGAGATTAGCCGTGTCCAAGATCAGACGGTGCATCATGCAGACTAAGTCCATCCCTCTGCATTGGCCCTTAGGGCCCATGCCAGCAGCACTGGCACGATCTAAGAGTTTGTTAGGCCTCCTGAATCAGAACCTGAATCTTTACAAGATCCCCAAGTTATGTATATACTGTGTGACAGGCCCGAGACTCAAGCCTGCCTCCAGAATGGATGGGTCCCCGTCGGGCAGGTGCTGCACCAAGAGCCTAGCACTGAGTCCTAGAAGCACCAGACGTTTTCACCTCTGTATCTTAGCTCCCATCATTGTCTCCGTCCTGGTGCCGGATTAGGCACCTCCAGAACTCTCAGGTGCCTCCGGAGAGGCACTCCTCCTGAGGAGTCTCCTGTAACTCTTGGGTCCCAGCGCCGTCTCCTCCACTTCTTCCTCGCCTGGGTACCCCAACGCCTGGGTACCCCATTCTGCAAGGCACATGCAGGAAACGCCAGAGCAGGCGTGTGCAGCAACTATTTCAGAGGAAGTATGAAGTAGCTGACGAAACTTAGCCTGCCACCGTAAGAGACCCGCGCAGACGCAGCCCTTCCAAGCCGAGCCCCAGCGAGACGCTGGACAGTGCCGGGGGGTGGGGGGTGGGGGGGGGAACCGGCCAGCGGGAGATTTAAACGCCAGAGCGCTGCCGTCCCGCGGGCGGGCGGGCGGGCTGGGCGCATGCGCGGAGCGGCCGGGCGCCGGCTCAAGGCCCTCCCCGCATGCGCGGGAGCCCGGATGCGGATCCAATTGGTTCGAAGCGCGCGACGCTGCGGCAATGGCTGCCCCCGGAGTTGCGGCGGGTGGTGGAAATTGGTTCTCGGCTCTGGCGCTCGGGGTGACTCTCCTCAAATGCCTTCTCATCCCCACCTAGTAAGGGACCCGCACCGCGGTTGGTCAGAGCGGGAACGAGGAGCGTGGACGCCCGTGGGTGGGAGGAGGAAAGGGGACTTGGAAGTCGGGCGCTGTGCTTCCCATGCCGCGGATTGATCGTCACCTTTTTTTTTTTTTTTTAAGATTTTATTTATTTATTCATGAGAGACACTGAGAGAGAGAGAGAGAGGCAGAGACACAGGCAGAGGGAGAAGCAGGCTCCACGCAGGGAGCCCGACGCGGGACCCGATCCCGGGTCTCCGGGGTCACGCCCTGGGCCGAAGGCGGCGCCTAACCGCTGAGCCGCCGGGATTGATCGTCACTTGACCTGAGAACTAGATCACAGCCCTGGTCGCTGGCTCCGGTGTTTCTAAGCCTTGGGTCCTCATCTTAGTGTGCCGGTTAAGGACACCCACCTCCGTCGTTCACCCGGCGGTAGTTCGCAGTGGCCCGGTGGCGAGGCACCAAGTCCTGGAGGTGCTGTGAGGAGAAAGCCGTTTCCGGGTTCTGCCCTCGATAGAATTCGTGGGGGCAGATGGACAGAAACGATAGTGTTAGGATCTGTGAAGGAAATAGAGTCACTGCGGGTCTTTTCTCCTTGAGGAGGTGATGTTTAAGTTAAAATTCGAAGGTTGAAGGAAGCAATGTAAAAAAGCTCAGTCACAGGAGAGAATAAATGTGAAGGAGGCCTTTGTGGTAGGAAAGAACTCAGCGTTCTGGGAACAGCAAGTGCCCATTGTTGCTGAAGAGCAATATGGCAGGAGGAGAGTGGCACAGGATGAGGTGGGCAGTGGCCAGATCACACAAGGTTAGGCCATTTGAAAAATGGAGGGGGGGGATCCCTGGGTGGCGCAGCGGTTTAGCGCCTGCCTTTGGCCCAGGGCGCGATCCTGGAGACCCGGGATCGAGTCCCACATCGGGCTCCCTGCATGGAGCCTGCTTCTCCCTCTGCCTGTGTCTCTGCCTCTCTCTCTGTGTGTGACTATCATAAATAAATAAAAAAATTAAAAAAAAAAAAGAAAAATGGAGGGGCAAATCTGAAAGCATGGAAACCAGTGAGGAAGCAACCACCAAGTAATGCATATTCTGCAGGAACTCAATATTTGTTAATATTAGCTTCCACCATCTGTTCTTCCTTCCTAAATCTTATGCAGTGATTTCTCCCTTCCTCTAGGTCTCCCTACCCTTTCCCAGTTTAGGTTTTGGTTTACTGATAATGTTTGCTTCAGTTCTTGGTGATAACCTGTTGGGTATGGAAGGAAGGGTTGTATGTATAGAGTGTGCATTCACACTGATGTGTACACGTACTTATACAAGCAATGAAGTGTGTGTAGGTTTAGACTTACACTTAGGAAAAGGAGGAGTTGGCCAAACTTTCTGCATCACTGAAAGGAAATAAACTTCTTTCCATTTTAAAGGCAAATTGGAAAAACCCTTCTAAAATGTGAGAAATTCCTTTCAAATCAGAGTGAAAGGGAATTTTTGCATATAAAGTGATGTTTTTTTGCTTTAGTTACTTAAGCCTAGAGATGGGTCTTCAGGGTTATTTCTTTGGTCCAGGATTAAGAATGTATGTAGTTGTAGTTAATGCTCTGCTTCTCAAACTGTAAAACCCGGGGATGTGAGAGGGAAGCTACAGGATAAATGTAAATATAGTCAGCAAAGTGTTAACTGCTTTTTACATACCAGGTATTGTGGGGTAGGCACTACAGGGGAGGACAGAATGGATATGATCACTAACCCTGTAAAGAGTGTAGTTTTGTGGGATAACAGTTCCAGACACAAATCAACACAAATATGTAATTACATAACTATACTTGTGTTAAAAGCATTACGAAGGAAAAGAATGGGATTCTATAAGGGGACTAACCCAGGGGACTTACTTTAGATCAGGTGCCAGGGAAAGTCTCTGAGGAATTGACATGTAGTTGAAGGCCTGAAGATAGGCCCAGTACATATCTTTTGATAAACATGGGTAAATGCATTTCTATTGAGTACTGTATATACTTAGAAATGGAATTGCTAAGTCATGGCTATCAATTTTGAATTGTGATTTTGAGGCATCTGTAGAAAATTTCAGTGTCAGCAGAAATTTGGGGATGTCTGTCTCTAGAACTCAAAAAAGAGATCAAACTTGTGTTGTGGTATGGGAGTCATTGTACAGTTGATAATGGACGCAATAAGTATGAATAAGATCTTCCAGAGCAGAGTAAGTTCCATAAAAAGAGGACCAAGAACTGAACTTATGGGAACACCAGCATTTACCTGGTGAATACTGAAATGGAAAGCCATGGAACAGACATAGAAGGGGTTGGCTAGGAAACTCAGGAGAGTTGTCACTGGAAAGATTGTATAAAACATTGAGAAGTGTTCATCGGGTTTTGCTGCGGAATTCATAGTTGACTTTGGTGAGTAGTTAACTTAGCAAGAATGTATTGAGCCCATCCATGTATCAGGGGCTCTTCAAGATGTGAAGGGGAAGTACAGCAGTGGACAAACAGAAAAAAATTATTCTAAAGAGGGAAAAGGTATAGAATATTCTACCCCAAAATAAGGCTCTTTGGCATAAGGATTATTGGGGGCTGATTATTTGGAGAAACTGCAGACACGGGAAAAGCTCTGAAAGCAGAGTAGAAGTTGCCCTTTTATAAAGAAAATTTAGGGGATCCCTGGGTGGCGCAGCGGTTTGACGCCTGCCTTTGGCCCAGGGCGTGATCCTGGAGACCCGGATCGAATCCCATATCGGGCTCCCGGTGCATGGAGCCTGCTTCTCCTTCTGCCTGTGTCTCTGCCTCTCTCTCTCTCTCTCTCTCTCTCTCTCTCTCTCTCTGTGTGTGTGTGTGTGTGTGACTATCATAAATAAATAAAAAAAAAAAAAAAGAAAAAAGAAAAGAAAATTTACAGTAGCCAGGGGGCCTGTATTGGGAAAGGAGCTGTTACCAGAGATCCCTTTTTCACCTGAGAGACTTGTCTGCTGGCAGGGGAACCTTTGTGCACCAAGCATCCTCTTCTGGCTTCTAGTAAATTGCCGCATCCCCATTGGAAAGCCCAGGCCCCTATCCCTTTCCTCAGCCTAGGGTGGTATATAAGCCTCAATCATTTGCCTGCCTTCTAAATCTCCTATCTTTCTCTGTTCTTTTGGGACTTTCATATATACATGTATTATTAAAATTGGCTTTTTTTTTCTCCTATTAATCTGTTTTATGGCAGTTTAATTCTTTGGCTAGTTACAGAATTTACAAGGGTAGAAGAGAACTGTTCCTTTCCCTGCAGTGGAGATGCTTGACTATATTTATGTATAGTGAGGAATTTGGAGACGTGGGAAAGGCATGGCAGGAGCCTTTTCCACCTTTGCTTTCTGATGAACTCCTACTTATCCCTGAAGATCTAGTTGGTGTGTGCAGCATTTTCCAGATAATGAATTTTGTTAGAATTCTTTATGAGGGATCCCTGGGTGGCGCAGTGGTTTGGTGCCTGCCTTTGGCCCGGGGCGCGATCCTGGAGACCCGGGATCAAATCCCACATCGGGCTCCCGGTGCATGGAGCCTGCTTCTCCCTATGCCTATGTCTTTGCCTCTCTCTCTCTCTGTGTGTGTGTGTGACTATCATAAATAAATAAAAATTTAAAAAAAAAGAATTCTTTATGAGCAAGAATAAGTTACTTCTGAGCAAGAATAGCCAGAGGACTTCGGTTATTTAAGTAGGACTTTTGGTCCTTTTGGTCAGCCCTTCAGATAACTCTTAAGAACCTTTTCACTTTTATATAGATCCCCAACTTTTCCAGAAGGCCAGATAAGTGCAGTGTTTCAGGATTATGTAATGCCTGTTTGTGTTTTTATAGGATCATGAATATCACTATACAGGAGTGTTTGTCCATTTAAAAGTATAATTTTAGAAATGTGAAATGGAAGGGCCCCTGGGTGGCTCAGCTGGTTAAGTATCCAAATTTTAATCTCAGCTGGGGCCTTGATCTCACGGTCATGAGTTTAAGCCTCCAGCTGGGCACTACACCAGGTGTGGTATCCACTGTTAAAAAAAAAAAAAAAAGAAAGAAATGTAAAATTAATAAATGTGACAAAATCTCATTTCACTCATCCGATTGTTTTGAATAGCCATTCCACAGATTTTGAAGTACACCGAAACTGGCTTGCTATCACTCACAGTTTGCCAATATCACAGTGGTATTATGAGGTAAGTTTTAATTTTCACTTTTTCGGTGGCTTATCTATTATGGTGATAATGTGATATCATATAAATACTACTGATGTTAAAACAGTTTTCCAGGAGAAAAAGTTTTCCATGTAATTGTAAGTCTAAGTAATCTTCATAAAAATTGTTTTTTTTACTCCATTCTGTCCTCTGGCACTATTAGGGAATCCTATTACTTCAAAGTGAGTGTCCCAAACTATTATAATATTCACCACACTCTTTTTGAAAGAATTTGGGATTAAGAGGAAAAATTGGATTCTAGGCCTGGCTCTGCCATAGCATAGAAAATATATTTCATTTCTCTGAGCCTTAGTTTCTCATCTGGCACATAAGGATTTGGAATGAATTATTTCTAAGATCCTATTCCCTATATTTAGTGATTTATGAGAAAAGGAATAGTCAAATGTGATATGCAGGCTTCTGGTAATATACAGAGCATTCTCTTCTATTATTTATAAAACCTATGTATTTTTGTTTCTGGTATGAATTACTAAGCTGCAAATGGTATTTCATGAAAAACAGACATCACTTCAGAAGTGTCTTCATCAAAAACAGCACTCTGCTGCAGGGAGATTTTTTTTTTAAGACAATCTAAAGTTTTCTGTGAATTTGTTCTTGCTTTGGAGGGGTTTTTTTGGCCAGATCAGAACAATCCTTAATAGCTTAAGAACAATGACCTGAAGGACCAAGTTCCTTCTTACATATAAATTTGTGATAGGAATATTAAGAATCGGTAAGCAATTACTTTAAAATAAAATGTTTACTTTAAAGTATTTCAGTTTGCACGTATGCAGACCAATTAAAAGACATTATATGTGGCATAGTGGTCAAGAGTTTGGGCTTTGTGGTTTCAGACTGTGTCTGTGTGACTTGCAGCGCTGCCACTTAATGCCCAAGCTTGAGTTCTCAAAGCCTCAACACCCCTAACTATTAATGATAATAAGTATTAGAGTGAAGTGAATATAATGCTTATAGTACTTAGCACAGTGCTTAGAACAGAAGTGCTCAGTAAACATTATTAAGGGTTAATAATTGTCATTATTCACATAATGACTCTTAGACTGTAAATGAAAAGGCAGCTCCTGTCTCCCCTCTCTTTCTGACCATTTCCTCTTTGTTTCCTTTGCCAGCTCTCCCTTACCTGCACACCCTTCCAACAGCTGATACTCTTCTAGGGTTCTCTTTGTGGTCCTTGTGTTTTTAATTCTGTAGTTCTTTCTGGATGTTCTTTCTCATTTACTCCTATAACTTTCACTACTTTCTGTTATTTTAGGACTCCTAAAACTCTGTGTAGGCCAGAGCTGTTTTCTTTATCAGTTTATTTTGGATAAAAGAGGCTTATGTAAAAGATATCCTTGGAGCCCTGGCTGGCTCAGTCACTAGAGCATGTGAGTCTTGATCTTGGGGTTGTGAGTTCAAGCCCCACATTGGGTATAGAGCTCACTTTAATTTAAAAAGAAAAAAAAAAAGAAAAGATGTTCTAGTAATGGTATACTTCTTTGTTCTTTCTGCTCTCCTCGAAAATAACAACAAAAGCCAACAAGGAGTAAAACTCAGTTCTGGGCAAGGCTTGACTACATGTGAGAAGAGGCTCACAGTAGGAGATAAGGCTGAAGAGGTACATTCAGTCAGGTCTGGAAGGGTCTCTCTGCCATACTAAAGGGAGTAAACATGTGAACAGTGAACTGCTTAACTGTGACTTCTAACCTGCCTTTCTGCTCTGGCTTTGCTTAAATTGATTGGTTAACTGATTGGGAAAGACACCCAAAATACCCATAGTAAATATTTACAGAATGAACACAGTTGTTTTGAATCTTCGTATGAAGAGGTTGGATGTTTCTGTATTTGAAGATACAGCTCTTGGAGAGAGCAAGATAAGAGTCCCTCATGTACAGCAGTGTGGTAGCAGCCAAGGGCGTTACAGCTCAGACCAGATATCATGAAACCAGCACAGACTGACGACAGCCAGAACTGATAGCCAGCAGAACCAGAAGAAGCCTGCAAAGACCCAAGACTGATTAGACTCCTTTAAAAGGGGAAGACTTTTGCTGCAAATTGTCACTCTCCAGAGGCTGAATGCAGTGAAAAGGTCAGCGTCTGAAGAGCCTAACAGTTTGCTGAAAAAGTCATCCCCTTTTAAAGGAGTCTAATCAGTCTTGGGTCTTTGCAGGCTTCTTCTGGTTCTGCTGGCTATCAGTTCTGGCTGTCGTCAGTCTGTGCTGGTTTCATGATATCTGGTCTGAGCTGTAACGCCCTTGGCTGCTACCACACTGCTGTACATGAGTCCTTGCTTGACGTGAGTGACTCCATCTTGATTTCAACAGCTCTGTTGTAGTGGCTTACTGAGCTAATGGATTTGGAGTCAGGAGACCCCAGATCTGAGTTCCAGCTCTACCAGGTATTAGTTAAATGACGGAACTGTTCACTTGGGAGAAAATGATAGCTAGTAGCTTCACAGGCTTCCAAGCTCTTTAAGTAAAAAAGAATGGACCCAGATGGAAATCTTGAGATCAAGAGAACTTTCTGGGTTAGATTTGGAGTCTTAGGCAGCCTGGGTGGCTCAGCAGTTTAGCGCCGCCTTCAGGCTGGGGCGTGATCCTGGAGACCCAGGATCGAGTCCCACATCAGGCTCCCTGCATGGAGCCTGCTTCTCCCTCTGCCTGTGTCTCTGCCTCTCTCTGTGTGTGTCTCTCATGAATAAATAAATAAAATCTTTAAAACAAGAAAGATTTGGAAAGTCTTTAGGGAATAGGGACAGCATATAGAGAGCCTCTGAGTGATGTGGGATTGAGAATAGCAAAGAAAGGACAAGGACACTTTGTTTTGGAAAAAAGACAACCTCCCAGGCACCACTTGTCCCTCCCAAATTTTTCTGTGCTTCCTGGTCCTTATTTTAAAGTAATAAACGTGTGAATAAGATAAAGTAAGAGAAAACCTCATAGATGTTCTATAGAGTAAATAGCTTTTTAAGCATAGAGTGAACTCTAACATGGAAAACTATAGCTGGGAACTGCAGATGTTATTGAAGTCAAAGTTAATGATGACTTCCTTGGAATTACATGGAGTTTTAATTTCTAAACTTGTTTCTTAAGTATCTATACCCTAGTAAGAAAACATTGTTGATCATTTGCTATTCAATGTGAGTTTATTTATAAATTATGCAAATACTGCTTTATTAATATACTGTTAAAAATAGACACTAAAAAGGATGAGATTAAAAAATAGAATTTCTGATTTTTCTATCTACAGTTTAATAGCTCATCTTGTTCACAGTCCACATTGGAAACTTGGAATTAGGGAAGGAAACTTCTTATGAGGGAAAGCTTAATGAGTATGTTCTTAGCTTGAGTGCCCTAGGAGAGCCTCTGGGTTTGCCTCTTCTAAGGCTTCTACATTTTTATATCTGCAGGGGGAGTAGCTAGGCTACATCTGATCTGGACCTAAAGTTGTCATTTATCCTTACCATGAACAAAGAGCTGACAAATAGTTTGTCTGAGCCCCTATTACCTCATTTTATACCACAGAATAACGCTAAATAGTAGTCCTGTGGGCACCCAGTTAGTACCCAGTGAACCCTCAGTGCAATTCCAGAAGGAGAGGGCTTTTCCATTGAAAGGAGCAACAAACACAGAATAGGGAGATTATTAGGTCTGAGCTCTTAGAGGTGCAAGGTCCAAGTTTAGTTTCAGGGACAGTCTATGGTGAGAATAATGATTTTTTAAGTGGTAGTAAATAATGTTTATTGATACTGGTTCAATGCTATATAAACAGCATTTTGTATATGTATATAAAATTTAATACAATAACCCATAAAGTATGTACTACTATCTCTGTTGTTTGGATGAGGAAACAGACTTAGAGAAATCTAAAAAAATAATATCCTGAAATTACATACTTCATTTTCATATACTCTACATTTCATATGATCTGCATTTACATTTACTTGTTAGTAACTGTCATTCACTTAACTAATGATTAATAATATATCAGGTACTTATTAAATGTTCAGAATACAGAAATGGCAAAGAGTGGCTTTTGCTCTCTTAACTTCAGTATCTCATAACCTATTGGAACAAAAGGTAAATAGCATTTGTCTTTCTTTTTTTTTTTTTAAGATTTTATTTATTTATTCATGAGAGAGAGACACAGGCAGAGGGAGAAGCAGGCTCCATGTCGGGAACCCGATGCGGAACTCGATCCCGGGTCTCCAGGATCATGCCCTGGGCCGAAGGCGGCGCTAAACCGTTGAGCCACCCAGGCTGCCCCTAGCATTTGTCTTTCATTTTGCCATTTATAACTGTATTTCATATGTATTATATCAACTGACCCTTACAATATGTATTTTACAAATAGGAAAATTGAGTCTGAGTTAGAACTTGAACCCAAGCTAGTGAATCATTTGTTATGCTATAGCTCCCCTTTTATATTTAGATAAGCAGCATTGTATCATAACCAAGTTTATTACTGCAAGTTTCATTAATTTCCTTTTGAAATATTGTTGATTCTAGTTAAGAAAATTGAAGACCATATTAGGGGATCCCTGGGTGGCTCAGCGGTTTAGCGCCACCTTTGGCCCAGGGCGCGATTCTGGAGTCCTGGGATCGAGTTCCATGTCCGGCTCCCAGCATGGAGCTGCTTCTCCCTCCTCCTGTGTCTCTGCCTCTCTCTCTCTCTCTCTCTCTCTCTCTCTCTCTCTCTCTCATAAATAAATAAATCTTTAAAAAAAAATGAAGACCATATTAAATAACTTAGGAACCAGGTGTTGGTGTTCTGCTCAGTCTTCCATAGGAATTACTCTATTAATTTAGGTCATTTTTGTTTGTTTATTTATTTGGGGTAATCTCCAACCCAAACATGGGGCTCAAACTCACAACCCCCAAATCAAGAGTCACATGTTCTTCCAACTGAGCCAGTCATGCACCATAGGTCATATCTTAAACAGGATTTCATTTCATGTGTTTTCTTAAAGACTAGAGAATGAAGATTTTTAATCTTTATATCCACTTTGTTTATTGAGTTATTTAGGACATGTTCTATCTTTGATTTTTACCACAGGCAACTTCAGAGTGGACCTTGGATTACCCTCCATTTTTTGCATGGTTTGAATATGCCTTATCACATGTTGCCAAATATTTTGATCAAGAGATGCTGAATATCCATAATCTGAATTACTCCAGCTCAAGGACCTTGCTTTTCCAGAGATTTTCTGTCATCTTTACAGATGCACTCTTTGTGTATGCTGTCCACGAGTAAGTCTGAGAATTTCATTTTGTATGGAAGGTGTTGAGGACATAATATAGTATTAAGTAGCATTAACTGGTTCCTCATTTGGGGAAAACTAAGTTCATATAATGGCAACTGCTAGAACAGTCTCGAACTCTGTATTTATGTTTTAAATGATACAGTGAGTAATTACAGTAAATAGTCTCACTGAATCTTGTGGAAGAAAATGTGGGTTAAAGTAGAATTACAAGACTGAGGTGAAACAAGAAATTGTGAACATTGTGAAAGTGGTCCCAAATAGAGTTCTGTCCCCATTTCTCCTGCGTAGAATGGCTCTGTATGCTTTTCCTTCCGTTCTTGTGGCCGGCCCCCAGAGTCTTCTGTGACATACCCTACTCTTTAGAATACACATCCATACATACTGCACACACACATGCATTGTGCTGACCGCCAGTGGAATTTCCATTCTAGTAAACTCAGGAAATCTTACTGAGTATTTTTATTTGTTGTTTCTGGATTCTTTCCTTCATGAAGACCCTTTGCTAATTTTAAGTTATGTTTATATTTTATATTTTTCTGTTTTGAATCTTCTGTTATAAGTTAATTTTTAGTTGAATACACGTATATACAACATCTTGTACAGTGACTTGCAGGTAGTAAGTTCTCAGTTAATGTTAGTTTCTATTCTGTCCTTGCTCCTGCAGGTACAGTTGTGACAGAGCACTATGTCCCTTCAGTGAGCCTTATCACAAATGGATCATTTATCTTTTGAGGCCCTGAACCCTTACCCCATTCAGGAAAGAATTCCCGTGGGAATGCTTTAACCTCTGCTCTTTATCATGGAGTATTTCCTGTTTGACCCCTCACTTTCAATCTGTTTGTGACCCAGGAAGAGTTGGAAGGGAAGGCTATTTGTAATATATGCCTTTAAACTCAAAACATTTGAATTCAAGCTCCCAGGGAGAGCATATATATAGGCAGAAAGAGGAGGGAGTAGAATTTATTTTCATTTGCAATGTTGAGGGAGCAGTTAAGATATAAATTGTTGAGACCTTATGTGCCAGCTCCCAGAATCAGACACCAACTATAGATAGTAACTTACTTAATTTTCTCAATTATCCTGTAAGGTTACTGTCTCTCTTGATGAGGGAACAGGCTCCATGGAGGAAAAGCAGGTTACCTTTTGGTAACCCCCTTTTCACTGAATCTTTATTGTCTATTTCTTTTGGCTTAGATTCCTGTTTTTAGGATTTGCCAATATTCAAGTGAAACGCATTTTTAAGAATCTTTTTATAGGATTATACAGCTGTGTCAAAATTTTGGAAAACAGAAAATGACATATACACATAAAGTAAAAAATTACCCATACTTTTCCACTCAAAGCTATCACTATCAATATTTTGATACATATTATTTCACCCTCTCTTCTGTATCTGAATATAATTTTTGTAAAATAAAGATAGGACAATAATTTTGGTCACCTTTTTGTTTTTTAAGATTTTATTTATTTGCTCATGAGAGACACACACACAGAGAGAGAGAGAGAGGCAGAGGGAGAGGCAGCCTCCATGCAGGGAGCCTGATGTGAGACTTGATCCCAGGACTCCAGGATCACACCCTGAGCCAAAAGCAGACGCTCAACTGCTGAGCCACCCAGGCATCCCTCATAGCTCTATTTTTAATTTGGCTTGTATGATATATAATTTAGAGTGCTGTATCATCTCAGTATGCTTTTTTTTTTAAATATAGTTGACATACAGTGTTATGTTATATTAGTCTCAGATATGGTCTGCATTTTTTACTCAAGGCTGATACAGTGTGTGCCCTCTCAATTTTCAAAATCCTTTTGAGTTTATGGTGGTTGTTTTTTAATTTTTCATTTTATTAAATGAAGACTTTGCTTCAAATCATCATAGCTGAGAAAGAGACATGGAACTGTCCCTGAGTTCCTTGTTTCTGCTGTCACCTTTGTAAACAGTCAAGAACAGCCTGGATAGTTTATCAGGAACAGCTAATAAAATGTATCTGAGTGTATCAGAGTATACTCTGTACTAGTCTTGTGATATTCTGATGAAGATGAAAGTTATTTCTGCTTCCTTCCTGCTGTATAGGTGCTGTAAATGCATTGATGGGAAAAAAGCAGGTAAAGAACTTACAGAGAAGCCAAAGTTTATCCTATCAGTGTTACTGCTGTGGAACTTCGGGTTGTTAATTGTGGACCGTATCCTTAACATTTTCTGTACTATTCTTTTACTTATTCTGTTATATATATTAAGTATAAGATTATTTCTACAATGATGATTCTGAAATGTGAGCTGCTATTGAAAATGGGTCAGTGGGTTCCCCAAACTGTGGTTTCTTTGGGTTCTCCAACTATACCAGACTGATTGTTAGCGCATTTTGTCTCTGAAAAGTTAATGATGTTCAAGAACCAGTTAAAGCACTAGTAAGTTAAGCAGTATGCTGGGGTTTGTTAACTGTCTTTAATCATATATCTTAAATAGTTTTATAATATGTTATTGTAAATACCTTTCCTAGGAAAGGGCCTACCTTAGTGTTGTTTGTGGGAACAGATAGGCCTTCATGCTTTTCCACCATCTTGTCTTACCACAAATTAACAGGCAAAGTTCTTTTAAAAAAAAAAAATTTTATATATATATATATATTTATATTTATATTTATATTTATATTTATATTTATATTTATATTTATATTTATATTATTTATTCAGGAGAGACGCAGAGAGAGAGAAGCAGAGACACAGGCGGAGGGAGAAGCAGGCTCCATGCAGGGAGCCTGACGTAGGACTCGATCCTGGGTCTCCAGATTACGCCCTGGGCCAAAGGTGGCACTAAACCACTGAGCTACCCAAGCTGCCCAACAGGCAAAGTTCTTAAATCCAGAAGATTTGAGTGAAAATCTCAATGGTAAAAGCCTAATATTCACAATTTTCATAAAGGTAACCACGTATGAGGAAAACACCCAGACTTTGGTTGAAGTCTGACCTGGCCTCATCTCTTAGCTATGGCATTGCAGTAGCTTTAGGCCACATGTGGATTAATGGCTCTGAGCTCTAACTTCCTCACAGGTTCATTGTGAGGCTTACTAAGTAAGATTGTGTATTGATACTCTATACAAGGTGCTACATGCTAGTGGCCTTAAGTAGCTGTTAGGTCCCTTACCTTCTCATCCCTTTTTTTTTTTTTTTTAAGATTTTATTTATTTATTCATAGACACACAGAGAGAGAGGCAGAGACACAAGCAGGCTCCACGCAGGGAGCCCGACATGGGACTCGATCCCAGGTCCCCAGGATCACACCCCAGGCTGCAGGCGGCGCCAAACCGCTGCGCTACCGGGGCTGCCCACCTTCTCATCCCTTAATCTAAAAAACAAAACCAAAAAATTTGCCCCATAGCTGCTGGGTCTTTAAGGTAGAAAAAACATGGGAAAATTTCCTGGTTTTCTTCTTAAACACAATTTTTTATGCCCTATATAATCCTTGACAATATATACACTTTAATAGAGTTTGTCTGATTTGATTCTGTTTACAGAAAACACATTTATGAGATGTCCAAACTGGGAGGAATATTTTTGTCTTTAGTTTGCTCATTAGGAAAGCGTTTACATTTTTATACCCAGTCTGCTAACACAGTTCAATTTAAATTTGATATCCTCTGTTGTCTTTCCTTAACCTAAGCCCAGATATTCATTTCCAGTACAATGGTTTTTTATTTGGATTAATGTTACTCTCCATTGCACGATTGTTTCAGGTAAATACAAAATAGGCTGATGAGATTTTTTTCCCCTTAGGTCTGAGTTGGTGCTTATAAAGGCAGCAGTATAATGAGTGATAGGCATACTTATTTGACCAACTGTTTTGAATTGCCAAGCACTGTAGACACTTGCATTGAGTGTTTCTCTCAAATCCTGTCTTCTCTTTTGATAATAACTTTCTTCTTTTTATGTGTAGACTCTAAAAACTTGTTAGAGGGTGGCCGGCCTGAAATATACTTGAGGTGCTGTATGTGGTTCAAATCATTTATCTACAATGAAATCTTTAGTTTTTACAATATAATAACTGATGGTAGGGTTTCACCATCAGAAGCAGGTAGCATGGTGACAGAAAGTATGGGATTTGAAATCAGAAGACTTGAGTTGAAATCCTGACTGACCCTAATAAACTGTAGGACTCAGTGCTCACACAAATGCACTGGCTACTTTGGGTTAGGTACATTATATTATATATAATATTGAGTAAACCTCACAACTATTCTGTGAAGTTGTAATTATTACCCTCCTCTTTGCAGAGGAAGAAATCAGAGGTTCGGATTTCTGGGGCACCCCTCTGTATGCTGGCTCAGAATCCTTAGCATCAGGGTTTCAGGCTCTACAGAGAATTTTGATTCACAGTCATGTTTGGGAACCATTAACCCAAGCAAATCATTTAACCCCTCAGCCTCAGTTTTTGCATCTATAAAATGAAGTATATCATTTGTTACATTCTTATTTGTAAAGTAGTTACATTCCCTACTTGGGCGCCTGGGTGGCTCAGTTGGTTGAGCATCCAACTCTTGATCTCAGCTCAGGTCTTGATCTAAGGGTTGTGAGTTCAAGCCTTGGCGTTGGGCTCTATAATGGGTGCAGAGCCTACTTAAAATGGGGCTTCCTACCTCACAAGGACTTTGGAAAGATCAAATTTGATAATTTGTTTTAAAGTTCTTTGTCAACTATAAATGTCTAGTTTTTTTCTTCTAACCATAAAAAGCCACATAGTACTTAGAACGTAGTTGGCATTCAATGATTGTTGAATAAAAGTTAGCTATAGAACCAGCTAGACTTTCTCTGAATCTCAAATAAGTTATAAAATGGGTGACAAGAGATCTGAAACCCCCCATTCTCTTTCCTCATCATTCCTCATTCATCTATTCTAGACCACACCCAATGAGACAGTGAGAGAAGGAACTTGGCATTTCGTGGTCCCTTTGGCAGTTTCCTTGCTGGACCACAGGAACATTATCTCATTTGATCCCCAGATTCCTGTGAGGTAGGTAGAATTCAGATTTATTTAGTTAAGTCAACTTGGGATTTTTTTTGTTTGCTTTAAATCAGATTACCTTTAGTAGGGTCAAGTACTGTACTTGGTGCCTTCAGCCTGATAGTACTATATGTTACCTTACCTGTAACAGCAGATTTAAATGGTTCTCTGGTAGCATAACATCATATATATTCTTTCGTTCCCTCATTCCCAGCTCCTCCATGGAAATCAGCTCCAGCTGTTGTAAAACTGTAAAGGGGGGAAGGGTGATTGAATTCTCTGGGCTGTAGATCTTTAAAGAGAATTTGTAATGTGTTGTTATGATGTGTCCTGTACCTCAGCATCAAGCTTAGTATTGAGTAAATACTTTTTGTAGAAATGAACTAGGCTCAGTATAAAAACTAATGAATCACTTGCCTGTTTTCATCTTAGCTTGCATGTAGAATATTTGCCTGAATTTTAAAAATGTTTTATTACAGCAAATTTAAATCATATACAAAAGTAGAGAAAATACTACAGTGATCTACATACATGCACATACACACATCCCAGACATAGTATTTCATTAACTAGTTCAGAATATATGTTTTAAAATATGTATTTTTAATTATAGTAAAATACACATAAAATTAACTATCTTAACCATTTTTGAGTGTATAGTCTAGTATTGTTAAGTATATTCACATTGTCATGTAACCGATCTCCAGTGGGTTTTTTTTAAGGAATTTAATTTTTTTTTTTTTTAAGATTTTATTTATTTATTCATGAGAGACACAGAGGCAGAGACACAGGCAGAGGGAGAAGCAGGCTCCATGCAGGGAGCCTGACGTGGGACTCCAGGATCATGTCCTGGGCTGAAGGCAGGCGCTAAACCACCAAGCCACTGGTGCTGCCAGGAATTTAATTTTTATAAATAGTTTTAGATTTATGGAAAAGTTGCAAAGATAGTGCAGAGTTCCTGTACCCCTCACCCATTTTCCCCTAATGTTACCGTCTTCTATAAAACTATGATACTGGGCAGCTCTGGTGGCTCAGCGGTTTAGCGCTGCCTTCGGCCTAGAGCGTGATCCTGGAGACCTGGGATCAAGTCCCTCATCGGGCTCCCTGCAGGAAGCCTGCTTCTCCCTCTGCCTGTGTCTCTGCCTCTCTCTCCTTTCTGTGTATGCTCATGAATAAATAAATGAAATCTTTAAAAAAAAAAACAAAAAAAACTATGATACTTTCATCAAGACTAAGAAACCATGCTACACACCTGAAACTAATACAACACTGTATGTTAACTGGCATTAAAATTAAAACTTTTTAAAAAAACAAAGATTGAAAAACTGACATTGGTGCATTCAGATTTCACCAGTTTTTCCACTAATGTTCTTTTTTCTATTCCAAGATCCAACCAGGATACTGTATTACTACATTTAGTTTACCCTGAATTTTAAAGTGATGTTTCCCTTTTAAATCTCCTAGAAAAGGCATATGGAAGGAGCATTGCTCTTTGCTGTTCTTCTACATTTCAAGCACATCTACCTCTATGTAGCACCAGCTTATGGTATATACCTTCTGCGGTCTTACTGTTTCACTGCAAATAAACCAGGTAAGTTTCAGTGATAATACCAAAACCTTTATTTTTGCTTGACTTGGTAGCTTGCTTCATGAGAGGATTTTATACATACCTCTCAGCTATTGATCCTACAAACCCTTTGCCCATTCTGACTTTTCTGTGCCCTTGCCACATAGTAGATATTAGCGTACTATCAGGGGACACTTCTGGTTTTAGCACATTGTACAAGTTACGGTTTTCCATACTCCTAGAGTAATGGTAATGTTCCTTTTCTGTAGATGGGTCCGTCCGATGGAACAGTTTCAGCTTTATCCGTCTTATTTCCCTGGGACTAATTGTTTTCCTAGTTTCTGCTCTTTCGTTGGGTCCTTTTCTAGCCTTGGTAAGTCTTATTTTCTTAATAAAGTAATACATGTTTTTTGTTGTTGCTGATGTTGTTTAGAAAAAATAATAAAACTAAGAATGTATAAAATAAACAAAACTACCTTTTTCTTAGTCTTCCCCAGTGTGACTCCCCAAAGATAGGATGGTATTCTTTCTGACATTCTTGTTAATATTCAAACATGTATGTGTATATTTATATGTTTTACTCATGTCTTGCACACACAGGCACACACACAGAATCGATGATCACTGTTGACAGATTTCCATATTTGCTAATTTGCCTACCTACTATAATTTATTTGTAACCCCCAAATCAGTACTCAGGGTGCTTTCACGGTCATTCACTGACAGCAAACATTCAAAGTACCTAAAATATTACACATGTTCGATAGATATTTTTCCCTTCTTCCCACACCCTGAATTCAAGTAATTAATTTTAATTCCGGCTAAAACTGAAAAGCATCACATCTTTTGTAAAGTCTTCCTTGGGGCCACCTTCTCTTCAATAGACTTGAATAAGCTGCACTCTTTGTCCTCCTTTGCACCTCATAAATTCTTCTCTTATTATACTTCTCCCATAACAGTACTGGACTGGTATTCAGTGTATCTTAAGATGTCCCCTAACAGGGATCCCTGGGTGGCGCAGCGGTTTGGCGCCTGTCTTTGGCCCAGGGCGCGATCCTGGAGACCCGGGATCGAATCCCACATCGGGCTCCTGGTGCATGGAGCCTGCTTCTCCCTCTGCCTATGTCTCTGCCTCTCTCTCTCTCTCTCTCTGTGTGACTATCATAAATAAATAAAAAAATTAAAAAAAAAAAAAAAAGATGTCCCCTAACAGATAAGAAGGTTAGACAAGAGGAGTTTGTGACAGATGCTCAGGATCACACAACTACTCAAAGGAACAAAGACTGCAACTTATAACTTTCCACACACCACATCACAGATAGTTCCTTAGTTCTCTTATTGTTTTTTTGTTGTTGTTTTTTAGTTTTCTTTTCGAATCTGGAAAAGATTGATCATCACTGTTGAATCTCTTTTCTACAGAACCAACTGCCTCAAGTCTTGTCCCGACTCTTCCCTTTCAAGAGGGGCCTCTGCCATGCATATTGGGCCCCAAACTTCTGGGCTTTGTACAATGCTTTGGACAAAGTGCTCTCCGTCATCGGTATAGTAGCAAGCCTTCTTACTTAGATGATGAATTTGGAAAGGATGAGTCACATTGAGAAATGGAAAACAGTGCTTTGTGCTTTGAATGGGCCTGAACTATTTGTCTAGACATACATTCCAGCTTTCAGCTCTAGGAACTCAGGCTTCAGTGCAGTAGACAAACTGTCTGTGCTCCTTACGAAAGCTTCTGTGGCCATGAGCTTGTTGATCGTTTCCTGGGGGAAAATATAAAATATTTAGACATTCTCAAAGTAATTTTTGCCTTAAGACAGTATTCAGCAGGGAAACATAGTCTAGCCTGGGTGGCTCAGTGGTTCAGGGCATGATCCCAGTTCGGGGATCGAGTCCCACATCGGGCTCCCTGCATGGAGCCTGCTTCTCCCTCTGCCTATGTTTCTGCCTCTCTCTGTGTCTCTCATGAATAAATAAATAAAATCTTTAAAAAAAAAAAAAGTTTGGGTAGTGATAAAATATATATATCTTGAGATCGTCCTACTGAAAATAATTCATTCTGGAATAATTCTCAGTAGTTTGTGAATATAGCCTAACTTAATGGGAAATGGTGGGATCAAGAGAAAGAGAGATTGGCAAATTCTGTCTCTAATGGGCCAGATAGTAAATAGCCTAGGCTTTGCAGACCACATAGTGTTTTTGTTTGTTTGCTTTATAACTTTGGAAAATATAAAAAACTCTTTGTAGCTTTAGGGCTATACCAAAATGAGGGGATTGCTCACAGGCTGGGGATTTGGCCCTCAGGCTAGACTTTGCCAACCCCTGATCTAGAGTCTGATGACTTGGTTGGAGGTCCACCTGCATAAATTAATGGCTCTGTGGCATTGAAAGTCACTTGATCTTCTAGCAGTTATAATAAAGGGCTAATATAAGTGACTGTACCCGTGCAGCATGTTGTAAGAAACACACAATAATAAAGAAATACCGGGTTGTTGGTAGCAGGGGCTTTGGAGCCAGACGGACCTGGGTTTAATTCTACCACTTATCCCTTGTGACTTTGGACAACTTATACATCTCTCTGTGCCTTAGGGGCCTGAAAGTAATGGATAGAAAACTCTTGGCACATAATAGCTGCTCTTACTATTTTTGGTGCATACTTGTAGGAAATCATAATGTGATATTCTCCCTCACCCACTATGAATCCAGCCTTGATGTTCATGGTTCCTTACAAGGAATTTCTTAACATTTATATTTCAGAAACCTTAAACAACCAGCATGGTTATGAGATTCAAGGGCCACTTTCCTTGTCTAACTCAGGAAGCTACCCTGTATATTATCTTATTTATCCATCTCCTCAGAGATGTCTTACCTGGAAAGTCAGTGGCAGGGAAATCATTACTAGCTTTAAGAGTGAATCATCAGACTGAAGAGAAAAGGAAAGAGGTTTAATGAATACAAAATATTTTGGTAGTCTGCACCTTGCTGCATTTCACTGATTTTTTTTTTTAATGGATCAGTTGTTTAATTAGGATCTTTGTAAGAAATTTAGAACACCAATTTGTGAGGGTAAACTCCATTTGTGAGAGAAAACACAGAGCGGAGGTAGCCCTGAAGCTGAGGAACAGCTTTGATTTTTGGCAGAATTTGCGAGTCCACAGCTTTCTGATCAACCTTGCGCTGCTCTGTAATCTTGTATTTTCCTTCTCTGTGTCAAAAATCTCCCCTTCCTGGTGTCTGGGTTTACACAGCTTCTTCTTGAAATAAGCATCAGTGAGATGTTTGAGGATTTTCACACTGCTTATATCAATTTTGGTGGAAGTGGCAATGACAAATTTCTGGTGTGTTCTACGCAGAGGAACTCGGTTGAGGGCCAGAGGTCCAGTCACAAGTAGCAAGCCACTGCTCAGTTGCTTCAGGAAAACCACCCTCTTGCCTCTGTGGCGCCCAGTAAGGATGATCAAAATGGTCCCAGGAGTGATGCTAGCTCGCAACTGTCTCACATGCTGATTGAAAGGTTTTTTGCCATGGCTCAACAGCTTGCGAGGCACATCTTCAGTAGATAATACCTAGGCATTTTGCGAAGTTTAACCACTCGGGTACCACCATTCTTGTCACCACCAACTGGTTTTGTAACGGTAGCAAGAACCGTCTCCTTTTTCTTTTCAACCCTGTATTTAGCTGCCAAATACTTCCTCTTGTACATGGCTTTTCTTGAATACATAGCCGATCGGGAATATCTGCCAATTCCTCTGACTAGGACAGGGTTTTGGCTGCAGTGGGGCTTCCCCTTCTTTGGCGTTTTAGCCTTGAGGTTACCCTTCTTTGCCTTGCCACCAGCATTAACCTTCTTGGCTTCAGGTTTCTTCTCCTTAGTATCCGGCTTCTCGGCTTTTTCGCCCGCCATCTTGCAAGATGGAAAAGAACCATTTCACTGATTTTTAATGGCATTAGGCCCATGCAGGTGCTCAGATTGTCTGTTCTGTTAGCTTGTTTGGGATAGGGTTTGCTTCATCATCCTCAGACTTGGTTCATTTAATAAGTATTCCTTGAACCCCTAAGTACTGGGGCTGGAAATGAACTAATCATCATTTCTGCCTTTAAGAAACCCAATTGTAGTGGAGAAGTAAGTCCATAAACAGATAACAGAGACATGTACAAGGTCCATAGATACATATGTGTATCTAGCCCACAAGAAAATCAGTTCTACTTTTTTATTTAAAACCTTTCTCAGATAAGGGAGTGAATTAGGAGTTAACTTTGCAAAGTGAGTAGGCCATTCTAAGCAAAGGGGACAAGTGTGGAGAGTGCTATGTCAATCGGTAGTGGCCACGCCACATTTAATAAAGTGTAGGAGATGAAGCTGGAGTGGTAGGAAGGAGCTAGATCATGGAAGATACTCTATGCCATGCTTGAGAATATGGACTTTACTCTGTAGGCAATGAAGGATTCCAAGTTGGGGTGTGATGTGATCAGACCTACATTTTAAAAGCCTGCTTTATTTTCGAGGTGACACCAGATTGCTCTTCATGCCACCTGCAAGCAAAGATCATTTTAAGCTGCATGAATTCCCTATTCCAATGCAAACACTTCTTTGCATTGTATAATCTCAAGACCGGGGCATTTTAAGTAGAGTAGTACAGAATTGAGTTAATATATCCTGACCTTGAAGCAGCAATAAGATTTAGGAGCTTTTTCTTCCTCAAGGAGTTGGTAAAATATGGTGTGCTATTGATGAAAATTAAACAATCTCTACGTATTCTGTAGGTTTGGAATTGAAACTGCTTGATCCCAACAAAATTCCCAAGGCTTCAATGACAAGTGGTTTGGTTCAGCAGTTCCAACACACAGTCCTTCCTTCAGTGACCCCCTTGGCCACCCTCATCTGTACTCTGATGGCCATATTGGTAAGAATTCACCCACAGTACTCATTTCTTGAGTTTTCTCTGCTTCTCTTTTGTGTGGCTGGTTAATTTCAGCTTTCCAGTTTTTCCAGCTGTAGGACAAATACCATGATCCTGCTGCAAATAGAGGTATTTCATAGCAATTCTTAGAGTAACTTTGAACACCTGAAGGAAAGATTACTAGTAAAACCCCTTTGAGAAAGATCCTCATTGCAGCTGTCAGATCGTCTGTTCACCCTCCAATGAGGAAAAAGGAAAAGCCCAGGGAGGAGGGGGCAAGGATTGCACTGTGGAGAAAGAAGGAAATGTGTGTAGTGGGGACATCCAGGTTTCTGTTGTTTATTTTCATCCATGCTAACTAGTCAAAAATCCACAGTTGTCTTGACTGCATGGATATTTTTGTTTTGATGATGACTGCAGGTTAGAATCAGCAATGGCTATTTGAGCATCAAACATTGAATCTAACATGAGTCAGATGCTGATAGTGGCTTCATTCATAGCTTTTTTTGTTAGCAATCACAGTGCTCTCAATTTCATGATATAATTTTAGCAACATTCAATATAAACTCAACCTTACCAACAATTATACTCAGCTTTAATTTTAGTTTCTAAAAGACCAAGCCTCACAAGACACCTGACCCCCACTTAATTAAGTGGCAGTACTAGTAGGTAATTAAGCTCTACTGGCCTATTTGTTCCCATGTTCTAAGGTAAAAAACTTTTATTTATCTTTATGTATTTTTTAAACTTTTTTTAAATATCAGCCTCATAAGCTGCATATGTCAGGCCATAGTTTTATTATAAAATACAGTCTAGGGGCAGCTAGGTGGCTCAGTGATTGAGTGTCTGTCTTTGGGTCAGGTCGTGATCCCCGGGTCCCGGGATTGAGTCTTGCATCAGGCTCCCCATGGGGAGCCTGCTTCTCCCTCTACCTATGTCTCTGCCTCTTTCTGTGTGTCTCTCATGAATAAATAAATAAAATCATAAATAAATAAAAACGCTCCAGGCCACAAAGCTGGGTATGTGTTAACATAGCAAAATCTAATTTATTAAAAAAAAAAAAACTAATTTATTATTAGCCCCAGAATGTGGATGAACTTTTGTAGTTTAGCTTAGTAGGTTCAGTGACTACTAATTAACTAATTCTGAAGGTATAAGGGGTTTTATCGGATATCTTAGAACTTAATTTTGTCATTTATCTTAATTAATTTTATCATTTATTATTATTATTAATGAGTTAAATATTTTCAAAAGCCTTTTTTCTCTGAGTGGTTTTTTTATAACTTCTGGTGGAGTGTTAAAGTGATGAATTATCCCAGTTTAATGGAGAATAGTCTAAGATCTATGGTTTTTGAGAGATGATATAAATTGTATTTGCCTGAACAATGTTTCTGTAAAGCCTGTTTTAAATGATATTGAAGTTTTATCTTTGCCTGTTGTTTCTAGCCCTCTGTTTTCTGTCTTTGGTTTAAACCTCAAGGGCCTAGAGGCTTTCTCCGATGTCTAATTCTTTGTGCCTTGAGCTCCTTCCTGTTTGGGTGGCACGTCCATGAAAAAGCCATACTCCTCGCAGTTCTCCCAATGAGGTAAGCATGTAACTCAGCTGGCATTTCTGGCATATTTCACAATTGACCCTCTTGTTTTCTATTTGATCTGTTCCTTCTAGACATGTTCAGTGGGATGGGCAAAGGCAAAGATGTACAGGAACAGATTTATACTAGGACAGGACAGGGACGCTTAACTTGGGATCCCTGGACCTGTGAAATTGCATGTATAGTTTCTGCACTTTTTTTGTTAAGGGATACTGTAGTGATTAAGAACCATGGTGCCAGGCTATTAGATCTGGATATTGAATGGCGGCATAGTATAGAAAAGTGTGGGCTTTGGTGTCATCACATCTGAGGAAATAAGGTTCCATAGTTTCTTCTTCTTCTTTTTTTTTTTTTTTTTAAGATTGTATTTATTTATTCATGAGAGACACAGAGAGGGAGAGAGAGAGGCAGAGACACAGGCAGAGGGAGAAGCAGGCTCCATGCAGGGAGCCTGACATGGGACTCTATCCCAGGTCTCCAGGATCAGGCCCTGGGCCAAAGGTGGCGCTAAACCGCTGAGCCACCCGGGCTGCCCTCCACAGTTTCTTCTTAAGTATTGTTAGTCAAAGTAAGGATTGAGTCCATTGTGGAATAAAATCTAACTTTTGTATAGCATTTCGCATTTTGCAGAACTCTTCTTGGGGTATTGGTAGGGGTTGTTTTGTTTTTCACATGTTTTTTTCTTTTTGAGCCTCACAACAACCTTTAACGTAATTAGGATAAATGGATATCATCCCGTCTTAACATCTACAGAAACTGGGGCTCAGAGAGTTTCAGTGACTTAATCCAAAGCCATACAACTACCAAGTAGCACAGTTAGGACTTAAATCGGATGTTATGATGCTGATTCCTATAATCTTTTCACTGTACCATGCTTGAAAAAAATTAAGTGCAATAGTATCCATTTTATATAAAATTAAAATTAAAACCTGATAGATAGTAATAGAATTAGCCTTTTTTTCTTGAGGTTTTTCTTAAATCCTGAGAGAAATCATTTAAGGTTTGAAGGAACCTTAAGCAAATTTGTCACATCAGTATATGGCTTATTTAGATTCATTCAGCAATTTGGAGTTTCCAAAATAAGAAATAGAGCAAAAGTTCTAGTGTCTTTAGTTAGAATTCATACCAAGCATCATCAGGCACATTAAACATTAAACTACCAAGTTCTGTTTCCCTGGCTACCACCACTAGGCAGCTCCCAATCCCACAACATCCCTTTCTCTGGAGAAGGCAGTTCTTCAGGGAAGCAGGACTCTTTTTGACTACTCCCGGTCTGTGTGGTACATTCTTTTATGAGCTGCTAAATTTCCCCACTAAATTAATGTTCTCAATTGAATTGTACTTGTAGCAAAGATCAGTATGCTATCTTATGCTTTTTTTTTTTTTTTTTTTTTTGCTATCTTATGCTTAAGCCAGTTCTAGAAATAATAATAATTGCAGTTTATTCAAGCTCTCTCAGTGTAAGTTTCAGTTGTTACTTTAAGGAATTATTATAAGAATTTTTATTTTTAGCCTTCTGTCTGTGGGAAAAGCAGGAGATGCTTCAATTTTTCTGATTCTGACCACAACAGGACATTATTCCCTCTTCCCTCTGCTCTTCACTGCACCAGGTAAACAGCTTTTTTTTTTTCTTTTTAAGAGAAAGAGATTTGATTGCCATGCCCTAAGCCCTTTTCATCAGGGCCTGGAGATCAATACTGAGTTAAACAACCTTAAAATCTCTTGGAAGGAAAGAGTTCATCCACTGTCTTAAATAAAACTCCTAATTTGTCCCTAATCCTCATTATCTTTGGGTGTTTCAAAAAAATGCACAGTTAAGCTGAAAAAGCATTGCTAACACTATATAGCTGCATCAGTGTGTTTATATCGCCTTAAGTATCACAAATCTTTTTCTTATCAATTGGATTATCATCTGTATTTTTTTTTATTCTTTTAACAGAACTTCCTATTAAAATTTTACTCATGTTACTGTTTACCATCTATAGTATTTCCTCACTGAAGACTCTATTCAGGTAATCCAAAAGAGTACATTTAAAATTATGTTTGCTCTTATGAAATGTTTATTGCTAAATGGTCAGCTAAGCCTTTTAAGAATATTTTTTACGTTACGACAGTAATAGAACATTTACGAATTGGCAAATTTTTTTAAGGGAGAAATTACCCATAATCCTGTCATTCTGACATAACAACATAGTTCATGTCTTTATTTTGAGGGAGTATTTGAGAAGGGACTACCTAGCTTAAATTAAAACCTTATATGAAAAAATTGGAATGTAAAATATGAATTCTGAGTAAAACCACATAAATATAGATGCATAAAGCTAAAATATATATAAAAATTCTTACCATAGAATTATGGGTGGAATTTCTTTCTCTTTTAAACTTAATATAACATCATCTGTATAATTTTTTTTTTAAATTTTTATTTATTTATGATAGTCATCACAGAGAGAGAGAGAGAGAGAGGTAGAGACACAGGCAGAGGGAGAAACAGGCTCCATGCACCGGGAGCCCGACGTGGGATTCGATCCCGGGTCTCCAGGATCACGCCCTGGGCCAAAGGCAGGCACTAAACCACTGTGCCACCCAGGGATCCCTGTATACTTTTTTTTAAGATTTTATTTATTATCTGAGGGATGCCTGGGTGGCTCAGCAGTTGAACATCTGCTTTTGGCTCAGAGGGTTATCCTGGGATCAGGATCCAGTCCCGCATTGGGCTCCTCGTGGAGAGCCTGGTTCTTCCTCTGCCTGTGTCTCTGCCTCTCTCTCGAATAAATAAATAAAATCTTTAAATTTTTTTTAATTAAAAAAATTTTTATTTATTATTTTAGAGAGAAACTGTGTACATGAGCAAGGAATGGGGTAGAAGGGCAGGGAGAGAATCCCAGACTGACTCCCCCCGATGCAGGGCTCGATCCCATGACCCTGAGATCATGACTGGAGTGGAAACCAAGAGTCATAGCTTAACCGACTGAGCCTCCCAGGCACCTCTGTATAATTTTTTATTAAAGTTTCCCTGTGATTCATATCTAATTGTGTCCATGAGCCTTTTTTACTTAATTATATTAAAACTCAGATATAACCATGGGACCTAGCAATTTGACTCTGAGGTATATACCCAAAAAGAACTGAAGACAGGGACTCGAACAGATCCGTGTACACCAGTGCTCATTGCAGCATTTATCCACAGTAGCCGAAAGGTGGAAACAACACAAGTGTCTATCAGCCAGAGAAGAGATAAAGAGAATGTGGTGTGTACATGCAGTGGAATACTGGCCACCTGGAGAGGGGAATGAAGCACTGACACGTTAGAACATGGATGAACCCTGAAAAACTTAGGCTAAGTGAGCTAAGCCAGACTCAAAAGGACAAAGATTGTATAAAATATCCAAAATAGGCAAATTCATAGAGACAAAGTAAATTAGAAGGTACAGAGTAGGGATGGGGGAAGAGGAATGTGGAGTGGATTATTGCTTAATATTTCCAGAGGTTCTTTTGGGGTGATAAAAATGTTTTAAAAATGGGTAGTGGTGATTGTAGCATCACTGTCAGTATACTCAATGGTACTGAAATTCACACTTAAAAATGGTTAAATAGCAAATTATGTTATTTTACCAAAACAAACATTTTAAAAACCATCAATTGGGATCCCTGGGTGGCGCAGCGGTTTGGCGCCTGCCTTTGGCTCAGGGCGCGATCCTGGAGACCCGGGATCGAATCCCACGTCGGGCTCCCGGTGCATGGAGCCTACTTCTCCCTCTGCCTATGTCTCTGCCTCTCTCTCTCTGTGTGTGTGTGACTATCATAAATAAATAAAAATTTTTAAAAAAACAAATTTATTTAAAAATAAATAAAAACCATCAATTATGTATCATTTACCATATCTTACTCCATTATCACAGCATCTAGCTGCCTTTTCGCTTCCAGACACATAGCTGATTCTCCTGGCGGTTTTAGCCAGGGGACAGTGTAGGTAGATAACAATTGGGTAAATATGTATTGTTTGAGATAATGCAATGGCGTATCATTATCAATTTTTTCTAAATGTGGAATTTAATGCACTCTTTTGACTATGGCTTTGACTGTTCCTCAGGTCAGGACAGTGCAGATGGGAAGCTTTAGCTGAGAAATGTTTGCTAAACCAGAATAACTCGTTTAAAATAGACTTTTCTCTCCTTTTTTCTTCAGAAAAGAAAAGACTCTTTTTAATTGGATGGAAACTTTCTACCTTCTCGGCCTGGCACCTCTAGAAATCTTCTGTGAATTTGTATTCCCTTTCACCTCCTGGAAGCTGAAGTACCCCTTTATCCCTTTGTTATTGACCTCAGTGTATTGTGCAGTGGGCATCACATATGCTTGGTTCAGACTGTATGTTTCAGTATTGACTGACCCTCCTGTCGGCAAGACAAAGAAACAATGAATAAAGGAACTGCTGGGATGTATTCCAAGCAATTATTTCATGGGAAATTAAGCAGAACTTGAAGAAAGTTGCTGGTGGCATGAGCCATTCATTTCATTTGTTCTGTTTGGAGGACCATTCTTCTAAACTTGGCCTTGCCCAGCCTAGCAACCTGATTGTCACCATGGTGAGAAGCCACTTGTCCTCCAAAAGCAATAAAACACATTTGAAACAAATCTCGCCTTGCCCTGTTAAAATTGTCTGAGATTGCGAGGCTCCCGTGCTTGCTTAAGGCAAGCAGGAAGTCTACCAACAGTATGATTATTTGTAGCCTGTGATGGCCATTGTCATTATAAAGCATAATTAAAATCATGTGCTAAGGGAAATATAAATAAAATGCCTTTTTGTATTTCTGAACAAAAATGTTTTGGATCATTACCAACTCCTACTCTTTTCCTATTGGCGTGCACACAAGCAGATGGTATACTGTCCCCACTCTATACACCTTGTTCCAGGAGATTTTTTTTTTCATTGAAATTACACAATGACAATATTCACAAAGCCAAGGAGGGGGAATATTTAATGAACTGGTTTGGCCTGTCAGCAGAAGCTGTAAACCACATCTACGCTTGCATTGAGTTAGGGACATCTTGTACAGTTCATTTATTCTAACAGCAAGTTCTACAGTTTTGGTAAGGTTGCCACTTCTTAAACTTTACTCATGTGAACTAATTTAAGTGGTTTTTGCAGCCTGGCCTTCCATAAGCGAACTTTACGGAAGTACTCTTTCTATCCAGGACCACAGTTTGCCGAATATCTGCTGCACATTCAAATTCAGCCAACATTTTTCTGGCCAACACCAGGACCTTTCACACATTGTATTTACTCATCTCCTAAAAAGATCAGAGCCCAAAGTCAGTGGCATCCTGGGGTGCTAATCTAGCTATTGCATCCCTTAAATTCACTTCCTGAGACTTCTTTTCAATTTCATTGCAGAAATAAAAATGGGAATTTTGCCAACGAGAGAGAAGCATAGCCCCTCTGGCCTATTTCTTACCACAGTCCCCTTTGTACTTTGGGTTCCAGCTGTCCTAACAACTGAAAATTGCCAGAGTGCCATACTATTTTGTACCTCTGCTTTCTTTTATTCGTTCTGCTGCTTCTCTGTTGGCCAGCTTTTCCAACCTGTCATCTGATTGTAAGGATTTCTTCAAGATCAAACTTACCCGCTACCATATCTGTGAATATACAGGTAGTAAAGTGTAGTGATTAAGAGTAGGGGTCCTAGAGTCACACAGCCTGATTTGTTTTGTTTTGTTTTAAGATTTTATTTATTCATTCATGAGAGGCACAGAGAGAAAGAGAGAGAGAGGCAGGCTCCATGCAAGGAGCCCGATGTGGGACTCGATGCCAGGACTCCAGGATCACACGCTGAGCCGAAGGCAGACACTTAACCATTGCACCACCCACGTGTCCCACACAGCCTGATTTAAAATCCTGCCTCCCTTTTCTATCTGTAGCCAAGCTTTTAGTTGTTTTTTAAGATTTTATTTACTGAGAGACAGAGAGAGGCAGAGACACAGGCAAGAGGGAGAAGCAGGCTCCATGCAGGGAGTCTGATGGTGGGACTCAATCCCCGGTCTCCTGGATCAGGCCCTGGGCCGAAGGCAGGTGCTAAACCACTGAGCCACCCAGGGATCCCCGAGCCTCTCTGTTCTTGTCTCTAAATTGATCACAAAAAAAACTTAAAGCCCTGCCTGACACATGAACATTCAATAAATATCACTTGATATTTTTATGAATCCTTTCCTCTCCCTCTCCCTCCTGTCCTCCTCTCCCAGAATTGAGTACCCTCACCATGTGTGCTCCCATGCTGTGGAGTCACCTTCTACCATTAACTTGTTTATCCGTTCCCCAGGAGACACTAGCAGTTTGAGAGCAGAAACCATACATGTCCTAATAGCCTCAGTTTTTGGCACAGTTGAATGAATGAAACAGCAGATAGGCTATGATTAAAATCTAAGTGTTTACTAATACCAATACTCAATGTAGTTCACATCTTGGCCAGCTGGTGTGCAAACCAAAAAAATTAGAAGTTGAATTTGAACCCTTTTGAGGACCATTTGAATGGTAAATTGTTCTCCAACATTTCATTTTCAGGCTGTAGGTGTCCTTAGGTCTAAAATGAGTCTCCTGTAGACAGCAAATAGATGGTCTTGCTTATTTATCCAGTCCGAAACCCTGTGTCTTTTGATGGGATCATTTAGCCCATTCACGTTCAGAGTAACTATTGAAAGATATGAATTTAGTGTCATTGTAATACCTATTCAGTCCCTGTTTTTGTGGATTATTTCTTTGGGCTTCCTCTTTCTTTTACAGAGTCCCCCTTAATATTTCCTGCAGAGCTGGTTTGGTGGTCACATATTCTTTCATCTCCACAAGGCTAAATTTAATTGTACTTTGTACATTATTCTGTGAGGTCAGAACTGGAAGAGCTTATCTGGTGCAGAAACTTCCAGAATGTTCTGCAGAGCCTGGAATGTTCTTGAAAGTTGTCTTAGAGCCTCTGGGCCCTGTCCCATCAAAGTAAATATGCTTTGATCTATGTCATATATTGGGCTTCACATAAATTTTTGTTTAACCAAAGAGTTCAAAGTCCAAATATATTCTCTTTACAGCAATTTAACCTCTTATGTTATCAAGAGGGAAATGGCTCCAGAGTCAGAAATAGCTTGTTGGTGCCAACCAGACTAGAACCCAGACCTCTGCATACGTCCTATGACTTTCCCAAATCCTATAGATTGTATTCACATATTTAGACTTTGTGAGATGTGGAGGGTTTTCAACAGCAAATTCCTAGGTTCCAGCAGTTGCTAAATAACGTAAGGGAGTTTTTAAAAAAATATTTTTTTATTCATTCATGAGAGAATTTTTTTTGTAGTTTAAAAAAAATATTTTGGGAGTTTTTTAAAAAATGGGGGGAGTTTTAAAAAATTATTTTATTTATTCATTCATGAGAGACACAGAGAGAGGCAGAGGGAGAAGCAGGCTCCCCAGATGGGGAGCCTGATGTGGACTCAATCCCAGGACCCCGAGATCACAACCTGAGCCGAGGGCAGATGCCCAACCACTGAGCCACCCAGGTGCCCCAAGGTACTGTTTCAAAATGTTCTGAAATCTAGAATTAAGCAATGTCAGGAACAAGCTAAGGTTAACTATCAACATTTAAATAAAATGTATAAATAACTCATTTTCCCCTGCTGTTTATATGCAGTGTGCCAAGATTTAACAACATAAAGGAAAAGTAAGGTGGGAGAGACTGGGTATTCTTGGTATGCTTGCTCACCTCCAGTGAGAGGGGTGGAGCCAGAACTGGAAGGGAGTGACCAGGAAGATGCACTGCCTTTCCAGCCTGAAACTGGTATGCCTTTCCTTGTTAATGACTTCCACCTGAAAGCTGCTCTGTGTCAGAGAACTGGCCCCCTACATATAGTCCATGTGGCTTTTTGCAGTTAATGGGACAGAAAATCATTCCAATAAAATACGGCCTTTGGAAAAGATGTTTTACTCAAGTAGTTTGAGAAAATTACATTTCCAGCATGATTGTGGCAAAAAAGCAAATCTTTTGACCCCTTTATCCCCTTTCTTGTGTTCCAAAAAAACAGGCTACTATGCTAATGGCAGCTGAAATTAGAACGAACTTAAAAACCTCAAAAATTTGTATCAATACAGTCATTAGTATCTCACCATCAAGTTCCATATTCAGCGTTCTCTGAGAGGATATAGAAAGGTCAATAAATGTACCAATTTTTTGTTTTTGTCTCAGGAGTCAGAAACAAAAACAATATGCTAGTACATATAAACAACTATGAAAGGGACAGGACTCAAAGTATACCTGTATAGAGAGAATCACAGAACTTTAGAAGCCTAGAAAGGCTCTCAGAAGATCACTCCAAGGTGCATTCATTTTTTACAGTTTTCCTGACAGAATAAATAAGTAGTGTGGTGGTGTTCACCACTTCATAAAACAGCCCCTCCCATGTTTCTTAAGGCATTTAATGCTGAGGTCTCTCACAGGCTGCAGTCAAGGTGTCACCTGGAGCTGTGCTGGTTTGCCTGGGGACAAAATGTGGGACAGATGTGCTTTCCTGCTCACACAGTTGGCAGAATGCAGTTCACTGTGAGTTGTAGAACTCAGGTTCTTGCTATTGGGTGGAGGCTATCCTCAGTCTCCTGCCATGTATGCCTTTCCATGGGGTAACTCACAACACAGCAGCAGGCTTGCATCAAAGTATGCAAGAGAGAAAAAAAAAGTATGCAAGAAAGAGAGTCTGCTAGCAAGACAAATGTACATTATCTTACA